GGGTTTTCCGACAGGTGAAGCGCCTCCAAATGCCCCAAGCCTGCAAAGATTCCCGCCGGCAGCTCGCTAATCGATTTGCCTGTCAGCATCAGTGCCTTCAAGTTGGGCAGGCCGGCAAAGAGTCCTACCGCCAGTGCAATCGGCGAGCCTTTACTTAGGACCAGACGTTCCAAGTTGGGCAGTCCGGCAAAAGAGCCGACGGGAAGCTCTCTGAGAGGATTGCACTGCATGTCAAGACGCTTCAAGCTCGCGAGGCCGGTGAAGGCTCCGGCAGCAAGTTCCCTGACTTGGTTGTACCTCATGTCAAGCATCTCCAAGTGGCCGAGGTCGGAGAAGAGCCCAAGTGGCACTTTGCTAAGTTTGTTCTTCAACAACTCAAGCTTTTGCAGCCTGGAGAGGCCCTTGAAGATGTCCACCGGAAGGTCTGTGAGGCGGTTGCGTGCCAGGTCAAGGCTCTCCAGCATTCCGTTCATCGAAAACAGACCTTCGGGAAGTGTCGCCAGGCGGTTGTCGCTAAGATCCAGGACCCTGAGTCGGGGGCTCCGCTTGAAGACGTCACGTGGCAGAGACAGCAGCTCATTCCCAGCAACAACCTTCGGCAGAAACTCGAATCCTGCTACTCCTCCTGTGTCTCCCAGCAACAATTTCTCCAAGGAAGGCATGGGATACAGCAGGCCTTCTGGCAGATGCTTCAGTTCATTTCCGCTCAGTGACAGGACCTTCAAGGCTGACAGGCCTGCGAAGGCTTTCGCCTCCACGCGATGCAAGTTCGCGCGACTGACATCCAAAAGCTCCAAGTCCTTCAGCGGAGAAAAGAGCTTGCCGGGCAGGATTCGCAGCGGATTTCCGGAGAGGGAGAGACGCTGCAGTCCAGGCATATACCTGAAAGCATCCGGCGCAATGCTGCTGATGTTCTGGTCATTGAGGTACACATCCTTGATGCGGAGAGCACCGGCCAGGTGGCAGTGTGAAAGCTGCTTGGCACCGCCGACCTCCTCGCAGCGACAAGGAAAGCAGCCCTCCACTCGCCGGTGGTTGGGGTATGACGAACTCGACAGCACCAAGTAGACGATGACCAACAGCAGGCTTGGCGAATACCTTCGAAGCCGTGACAACTGACAACAAAACAAATGCGTCAAGAAGCAGCGCAAAGGGTGGGCACATGCAAAGACTGCAAAGACAGGAGGGATGACGAGAAAAAAACTGCCACAAGGGCTGAGGCTGGGCAACCAGGAGGCAGCACCTTGAAAAGGGCCTTGCATCTCCCACCAGAAGCTGCACCTCTTGGGCAGAGCGACCGCAAAGAAGAACTTCTCTCCCGAATCAGCCATGCTTTGGGAACATTTTGCTCGAGGGCCCGGCAAACCGTGCACACATGGGCCACGGAATAGTAGACGGCGAAGTAGCCGAAGAAGTCCGTAGGAAAAGCAATCACTGCATCCGCCTTCTCTTCAAGGCTAACTTCTTTCTCATCAACACCGAAGTTCCCTGGAACTGTTCGCTTCATGACCAGCCTGTAAGTGGCCAGCAGCGTCACGACCAGGTACGAGAGGGTGTAAGCCATATCCAGGATGGCATCTAAGATGCCCGCTCCCATGCGCGCCCTTTTGTCGGAGGGGAACAGGAACAAGATGCTGGGATAAAGGCTGTTCATGCCCAGGATAGCAACAAAGATCCAGAAGGATTGCGTGAAGGACCCTGACGTGTCTGAGTCTTCTTGAAGCGCGAAGGACGCGATGCCGCCGATGACTGGCAGCTTGCCTAGAGCTTGCAGCACCACGGTGAAGAGCTGTGTGACGGCCACCTTTAAGCCAAAGAATCTTCCGTGAAGGCCGAAATCGCTCTCATAAAGCAACTGTATGGGCGTCAGGCTCCGGCTACCCGCTCTCACGCTGCACCTCTGCAGGTCGCACACAAGGACGAACGTCAGTACCAGGTAGGGCAAGGTGAAGAACGTGCAAGGTGCCCAGCTCTCAGGATACGCCGATGGATCCGCATCTTTCAAGGCAAACACGTATTGCCAGACCGGCGAATGCCGCATGCGGGACTGGAAAACCTTCGGACTGTAGCGAGCGAAGTATTGTCCCGCAAGGTACACTGCAGCTAGCACAGAGACTGTACGAAGCAGGCAGAGGGAGACATTCAGAAACCAAGGACGCGATTTTGAAGCGGGCTGGCGCCGGCATGCTTCCTTGCTCGCCACGAGCCCGAGTTGCTTTGCCCTTCGATGCACAACGTCCAGCTGTGCCTCAAGCTCACTCAGGGAGCTCTCAAAGAACCGGATCGTAGCCAAGTAGCTGTGGACCCTGACCACAATCTCTGCGCACCTGCGGCCAGCCTGCGCAAGAGCAAAGGAGTCCCGCATGGACATAATCTCAACGTTCCCTTCATCGTTCTCCAACCTTGTCTTGAGAAATTGCCAGGCACGGGCAACGCCAGTCAGGTCAGGAAGTGTCACGTTGCAATACAAGATGTCAAAGACGCGATTCGGTTGACCCTTCCTTTCGACAGCTTCATGCGCAAGTGGCACTGGTTTCAGCTTCGGCCACAGGTCAGATAGTCCGGACGCCATCTGGCTCTCCAGGTACTCTTTCAATGGCAGGCACACCCTTTCGTGAAACGTCTCAAAGTGTCTTCTGGCTTCCAAGTAGTGCTCTTGCAAGCTGTTCACACGCACTTGAGTCATGTGCTCTTCCCCTTGGTCACCGAACAGAATCGATAGGTCGCTCCCCAAGTGCCTGGCATAGATGGACTCAGCAAGCACCTCCAGCTGCTTTGAAAGTTCCTGCATTCGATTGAGTCGAACCGTCGTATACCATATGCTCGTGACAGCGATCACTGCAAACGACAAGAGCATGGCCGTGGCATCAGCCCGCATCAACCGCGACAAGCTGTAGCACGCCACCGGAAATAAGCTTAGCACAATTAGAAACAGCAAATACCGACTCTCGGCTTCTGCAATCGCTTGGGTGAGCATGAGCAAAGCAAGCTCAAAATACTGGCGTTGGGAGTTCAGCGATGAGCAGATCCTTCTGCAAAGCCCAAAACAGCGATGCCTCCGACAATACCCACTCTCCAAACTATGAAAGGACAGACATGTAGGATGGCTACAGGGAAAGGGTCTGACCTCATCAAACTCGTTCTCGTTGTCTCGCATCTCTGTGTCAGAGCCCTCTTCTGACTCGTCGCTGATACTGCTGGAGCTGCTTGAAGTGTAGAAGCTCATAGGCGAAAAGGAAGCCGACTTGGCGAACGGTGCATACAGTCGCCTCAGCCGCCGACGCAGCAAGCGCTGGTTGGCAACAGATTCAATGTGGACCCAGGTGTTCATTCTGCGACATCGCGTGAGTGACCCGATGGCTTCCTGTAGCTCCAGGCGCACGTCCCTTGAGACCCGCTCACATCCGCTGAGGTCCAAGACCAAGTCCTCTAAGGACTGGCTCTTCAATGCCGAGGCCAACGGCCCGAGCTCCTCCAGCTGCGGCAGCTTCATGAGCCTACACAGGTGCGCCAGCCAGCAAACAACACTACTGAAGCATCTGAGACATCTCACCTACGGCCACAGACTAAACATGAGCGAAATCGCAAAACAACCCTGGAGTCCTATATATTGCTGGGACATGCATTTCACACCCCTGGCCAGAGCTCCAAGTAGGCCAGCCGCATGTCTTCCAGCGCCTCGCTCAGGCCGGCAACGCTGCGCAGGCGCTCGGAGCCCGTGAGGCGCAGCGTGAGCTCCGCCAAGCACCGCAGGCCCGGAACGGCCCTCGCTGCCCGCCCGGCCTCCATGTCCGGCAGCCCGGATCCCGAGGTCGAGACGAAGGAGTCCAAGGTCTCCAATCCGGTGAAGCACAGGTCCAGTCGCAGCACGCGCACATCCGGCAGGTGCGACATCAGCACGAGGAGCTCGGCATCCCCGAAGTGCGCACAGCCCGTGAAGGACAGCTGCACGATGCGGCGCGAGGCGTCTGCCTCCAGGGCACGCGCCAGAACTTCCGTGGACTTCTGCTCCTGCACATAGCCGTACCACATGGCCAACGCGAAGTGCGACGCAAGCGCCCGGTTCACCCGCTCATAATTCGGGTGCTCTGCGGGGTGCGACTGCAAAGCCTTGAAATGACCAGGTCCAAGCTCAGGGAAGGCGATGCTGTTCAGAATCCGCACCTTGTCGATCCTCTCTGTGTACTTGGCCTCCTGAGAATGCATGGGTCCCTTTCAACACGACGCAATGACAAATGCCAAGTAGCAAGGGTGCAGGGGGTCAAGAAGAGCATCTCTGCCAACATCCGCCGAGCTGCTTGGATCTTCACGCTCAGACCCCGCTCCAGGAGCACCAGGGGGAAAGGGCGCTCGCGCACCGACTTCCTGTGCAAGCCGACGATGCCGATCATCCGCGTCTCCGCGCCGGCCAGGCCATCAGTGAGCACGTGAGCCTCGGAACCAACAATGTGCCAGTGTGAGTGCAACATAGTGTACAGGCATGGCGCATGGCGATCAAGCAATCTCAAAGGCTCAGCTACATCGTCACCCCGCCGTGCCATCTACCCCTGCGCCGAGCAGCTTGGCCCTGCGCGTCCGTGGCGCCAACGTCCAAAAACAGGCGGCGTGTCGACCAACCGTCCTCTCGACGCTCGATGGCCTGGGAGATGAGGCAACGCGGACAGACTTCCCAACAAGGTTCCCTAAGGGCCTGCAGCTTTTGCCCCAACATAATTCACATACTGCAACACTGCCGACCACACTGCCGGGCCTTGCCAAGAAAGGAGGGTGGAGAAATGCAGACACGACAATGGGGCTTAAACCAGAGAACCAGAGATGTGGAAGACAGGTGGGCGAGGTTTCTAAAGTCACGGTACGACGACATCACCTTCTCTGCCAGGAATTGTAAACTGTGCGAGTGAGCAGCATTCCTCGCCCACACAACATTGCGAGCTGAAATTGTGGGCATGGGGAACTCGATCCGAGCCCCGAACAATCAAACAGGCAGCTGAGGCCGCGGCAATACTTTCCTCGAAGCAGCACCAGATGCGCTCAAAGGGAGTTCCAGCGGAGTCCAGCACGAGGAGTACCCCCTCACACATCTGCATGGCTTTGTAGAAGGAAGTGCTTCGAGGATTGCACTGAATATCGTCCTCGACACGGTGCTGGTTGTTCGCGTACGCGCACACCCAATAGGTGGTGCTGCCTGGCAGATCTCTCACACTTGCATGTTGTTCCAGACATGCGAGGAACTCGTTGACTGGCTCCTCACTGTTTCAAACTCGAAACTCGAAACAAGATGGCGAAGGGGTGCTTTACGAAGCTGCTACGGGGTGCCAGAGAAACAGTCGCTTAAGTGTCCTGGGTGTGCGATTTATCCTGAGGGTTAACTGCATAAGGACCCTACATGGCACCAAGCTTCAGAAATCAACCAAATGCCAAAGTGTTTGTAGCGAGCGTCTATCCAAGCATGGGACACGAACCAGCGCGGCTTCTGCACGTGAGGATCCAGCGCCATGACCTCCACCAAGCTGCATCCGTTCTGCTCGTGATACCCTTGCGTGGCTGGCTTGATGATCCAGTGATTCGCATGGTACAGGTTGAAGGTGCCGAATGTCAGTCTGCTTCCTGCATTGGCACCGTATGTCTCGAACCATCGGTCCGCCATCTTTGAGATGAACCTCACGAGCAGCCGCAACTGCTCCAAGCTGATGCCTCGCTCGGCCGTGTGCGCGATGGAGCACGCCTCCTTCAAATCTTCCCCCTTCCGACTTCCCGTGAATGAATGCCAGGGCACCCCGACAACCCCTACAAGAGGAGAACAGAAACAAAAGCTTGAGTCCTCCGCGCTGATCTCGGAAAAATTGGCCAGGACGACGCCATGCAGCGCTGTCTGTTGGGTGATGATTTCGTTGGGCCCCAGCTGCTGCAGCCCACTTGAGAGGAGTTTGTTTCCGTGCCAGGGTTCAGGCAGCCGGCTTTGGGCCAGGCGAATGACGTCATCAGCAGTAAGCCCGACAGCCCATGGAAGACTGAGCCATCCAAAACCGGGGACATCCACTGCCAGGGACATGGCGTCAGGTGGGCCCTCAATGGCGGTTGACGCTTTGGATTCAAGGTTTAGCGTTTGGGTGTTTCCGAATTCTCGGTGCTGGCCATAGGCGCTTGGGAGATGGACTTGCGAGAAAAATTGTAAACAGCCACACATCTGGTTGGGAAGAACCTGATGGCTGCTCCTAAGCAAGCCAGGGCATGGCTGAAGTCGTCTGGAACAGCGGAGGACCGTGGGATCCGTGTAGGGGACAGGTAACGGAATGCACGAGGTGCAGATGCAACATGTCACCCTCACATCTGCCCATCACGCAACCAGGCACTTACCCCCTCAGTTTTCCCTAAATCTCAACCATAAAACACCGCAACAGCTGGCTGATCCATTCTTGAGGAGCCGTAGTTTGGGAGGGGTGTCCTGACCTCACCCCCAAACCCCAAACCCTAAACCCTGAGCCCTTAACCCTTAAACCCTAACCCTAAACCACTATCGCTGACGCAGGGTGTGGTCCTGCCTTGTGCTTTTACACTGGCCAGGCCATGTTCTGGTGATGGTCTGCTGTTTGCGCGTTGCCTCCCCCCCCCCCCACCCCCCTTCCCCTCCTCTTAAAGCCCGAGCCCGAGGATGGCTTGGAGGGTGTCCACGCCTTTCTTGTGGTCGTGATCCTCCCAGTTCAACTCCATCCTCGAAGTCAAAAGTGCAACATGTTCACGGTCACATCTGCTCGTCACGCAACCAGGCACCATTGCTTTTGCTTTTGTCCACATCGACAGCTGATCAATGGCATCAAAGAGGTCTGCACTTTTACGACCTTCAACGACTTGTAGACTGATGAGCTGGCACAGCTGCTTCCGAGCCAGTGCCCCGGAACAGAGAAGATCTGGACTCAAGGCCTATGGAAAGGCTTTCTGTGGCGGTTTGGGGGTCTTCAAGCTTGTTTGTTGATTGGTCAAAGTGCGCTTGGCACTGGCTCCTGGAAGGGGCACCATGCTGATGCTCAGTAAACCGACATCGAATTAGAGACTTCCACATGGGAATTCTTCTTCAAACAGCATGGCGCGAGCATGCTGGTCTAGTAAACTGTACATCCGCACTGAACATTTGGAACATCTTTGCCCTGAATACCCCAAGCCCCTGACCATCAGCCACCAAATTTGATGAAGTAGTGCGCGATCATCTGGCAGGAGTTGAACACAACAACCTCATCAATAGAAGCGGCCTTCTGTGCCAAGCCTTGGGCAGTGTGGCAGCAGCGCACCCTACTTCCCAGCATTCTTGGGGGTAATTGCATGGTTCCTTGAAAATGGGCCCTTTAAAGGTACCCCTAGTATACCCTAGGGCCATAGCACAGAACCCCTTAAAAGGAGGTAAGGGGCCATATTAAGGGACCATGTAGCTACCCTTAGAAGCCTGGTGCCACCCAAGGGACGACTGTGGTGTTGCCCGGAAACCGTGGTGGAACAGGGCTCGCTCACAACTTCTGCATTTCCAACCTTGCGTTTAGGGCTTAGGGCTTAGGGATTAGGGTTTAGGGTTTAGGGCTTAGGGCTTAGGGCCTAGGGTTTAGGGTTTAGGGTTTAGGGTTTAGGGTTTAGGAGTTTAGGGCTCAGGGGATGCAACAGGAAGACCAGAATTGGGCGAACGCCATTTGCGAAACAAAGCTCTTTGACCAGGTTGCTTTCGCTGCCAACAGCTTGAGACACGTTTCATGATCACATTCATGCCGTGGAAAATGACGAGCTTTAGCAGATTAGCAGAGTAATGAGGCTTCATGAATCAATGGACTACGAAGGTTGATGCAATTTGTTTAATGTACGTTGGAGGTCCCCTGGTCGCCATGCGGGGGGGGCACAGCACGCCGCTCGTGTTTACGGCAAAAGACACCCCCAGCGCACTTCTACGAACTCCGCCTACATGAGAGCTTTTTGTGCCACATGTGCCACTGTATACGACCGAGGTAGCCACTGCCACTTTCACCATCAGCAGGGCGTTTCCGTAGCCTGTGGCGGTGACAGGGTTGGAGGTGGCGTAGAGACCAGGCCCATAGTGACCTGAGCAGGCTAAACCCGAAACCCTAAACCCTAAACCCTAATTCATGAGGCTGCGCTTCTCGCCTCAACCTCTGACGTGCTGCAGAAAGGAGAAAAGCAAGGCTCTTTGCTGGAAGCGAAGGAACTGCCGATGAGTTAGAGATCACTGCATTGACTTCCATTCAAGGCCAGCTGCTTAGCAGCGCGCCCCTGTCATTGCAACGAACCCCGAAAATGGGATTGGGAGGGTGGGCCGCGCGAAGGCAACCTCAAACATTCAAGACTGGAGCCCATGCGTACGAACAGCGGGCGTGCTTACAGTTGATGTTGCGACTCATCAGCTTCAGCTTGTGCTGAAGATGGCCCTGCACTTGCACTGACCAGCTCGCTGCATGAATACCCCTTCATTCATGAGGCTGCGCTTCTCGCCTCAACCTCTGACGTGCTGCAGAAAGGAGAAAAGCAAGGCTCTTTGCTGGAAGCGAAGGAACTGCCGATGAGTTAGAGATCACTGCATTGACTTCCATTCAAGGCCAGCTGCTTAGCAGCGCGCCCCTGTCACTGCAACGAACCCACCTACCGGCACTGGCCACTTCAGTGGCCGAAAACAGACAAACGAATTTTCGCCAGCAGAGCGGAAAGTCATGCCAAGAATGTTGCCAAGGGCGCACAAGGAGCCAGACGATCGCACGTGCCAGCTGTGACGTGCTGCAAGGGGAGCAGACTTGCAGCCCCGTGCAGGAAGAGTCAGCATCATGCTTCTGCCTGCAGCATGTCGGCCTCAGGGTCTTCAGAAGGACCCTTAATCCGCAGTATGCCCGGAAACTTCCTGTCGAGTGTCAGCAGTTCCAGAAACTGTACAACCAAAAATACCAAATTCCCACCAAAAAGCCGCGATGACGCACATGACAAGTTGCACATCATGCTCCGAGGAACAGGGCTTGTCAAGGCAACATTTGAGCTTCACTGCGTAATGTCATAGGCAAACGGATGTCAGCATGTTTCTTTAGCAGAGCGCTTGCGTCTCCTGCCGCTAGAGGGAGCATCCGACGGGTTCTCCTGAGAGGGGACCAGAATCAGATGCAGTTGGAGATCGCCAGCCATGGTTAAGGCGGCCATCCTGCGAAGCAACCTGTTGAGTTGCGAAGAGGATCTTCCTTTCGCCGCTGCTCCCAACCAGACGGCTGAGTCGACGAGAATCACGACTCTGTGGGAGTGGTGCTTACGAGATCTCAACAACCACCGCAAGAACAGAATGAAAGCTTCTCCCTCAAGCACATTGATGTGGGCAGGATGCTTCCGCCTGACGCTGAATACATCACTGAAGTCGTTCAGGCTCGCTTCGAGACGATGTGCTTCACCAGATCGGCAAAGCTGCTCTGCCGGGGCACAGCCGCCGTCCATCAGAATGAATGCACCTTGCTTCTCTGCCCAGCGAGCCACCTGACGCACATACTGTTCTGATGTTTTCAAGATGGAAGCGCCGAACCCATACTCAACACTGGCATCGGTTGCACCCAACATTTGCAGGAAAGGCCGCCTGAGATCACAACGCCAAAAAATGCCGAGGACGATGCTACAGGCCAGCTCTCCGAGGACAGCAGTTGGGAGCTGCATGAGAGTGTTCACGTTCGGCAAGCCCGTGAAACTGTAAATGTCGCTGTAGACGGACAGCTTCGGGCGAACCAGCAGATCAAACCACTGCAGCGCTCCCAAGAGCTGCTGCACATGCTTGGGAGAGGCCTTCTTTCTGCAATGCAAGAACAAGAACGTCACGATCAGCGCCAGGTATCTTGCTGCTGGGATGTCCAGGAAAAAACCATCGACCAGGTCCACACCGACACAGGTGGCGCACAGCGCATCGTTTACATCCTTCTTGGCATTTCGCACAGCGCCTCGTGAAGTGAAAGCATCATCCAGGCGCGCAGCGGCCTGCGAAGTCACGCCTGCGCCCGCCGTGCTGAAAATCATCACGTCATCAGTCGCAGCAGCTGCCACCAGATCGAAGGATGAAGGAGTCGGGCAATCACACGCAAGAAAGCTGTCTTGCGCAAGGCCGGCGTGCTTGCACAAATCCAAGATCTCTTCCTGGGCAATGTACGACGACCATGAGAAACCCATAGGCCACACACAATGCACAGGATAAAGTCTGCCCTTCTGCCAACGTAACGTTGGCCAACCTGCAAAAAGCTCTGCTGCTCCGAAACAGACATGCCAGCCGCTTCAAGCTCGTCACTTGAGACTGGGGGCTTTGCCATGAATTCCCTCAGCTGCTCGGGCAGCTGCAGTTGGTCAAAACCAGCAAGAGGCATCACGTTTGCTCACCCGGACAGGCCGGTCAGGAGAAGTCTCAAGGAACGTGAGCGCAGTCGGAGACGCCAAAAGCCTGGGTTTCGGCGGGGCGACGGCGGCTTGCGACACGCGTTGGCCATGCCACACTTCTCTTAAACGATCGCCACCTGGCTTGCCCACAGCCATGGAGGTGCCTCCACCTTTGCAGCTGGAAGAAAGACCCAACTTGCCAGATCTCAGCTGCTTCATGATCAGCTTCACGTACTCCTCTCTCCTGCCAGCCGAAAACGCAGCGAAGTTCTCAAGCGCAGCAGGAGCATGCGCGAACATCTGGGCAGCGTCGCTGATGATTGCCTGCGTATCTAGCGGCAGGTGTGAAGTCGGATCACAACAACCAGCCTGCTGTAAGTTATCCACTTTGTCTGCTTCCAGGTCCCGAAAGCGCGGCCCCAAAGGGTTTGCTGCCAGCACATACTCAGGTACAAACTTTTTCCAGGAACCTTCGTCGAGTGCCTGTAAGCGGTCCAACATCGACTTCGCCCTGGCTACCAAAGATGTCACAGCCACCGTCTGCGAGTCTGTGTGCCTGACAGGATACGTGGTCGACGACTTCACCCCATACATCCAGTTCAAGCAAGCAATGACCAAATTGACAAAGCTTCGGAACACCGACCACCGCAAAGAAACAGATCCCGCTGCCTTCCGGTCCTGCATGTTGACTTTGCACTTGAAAGGAACTTTCCCAACTCCCCGGTGTTGCTCTTTGCAGCGACACGCAAGTGCTCCAGCAGCCACACTTTGTCTGAAGGCACGGAAACATGCCTCTCCGCACGCCACGCTAACCAAGCGGCCCGTCTACGTCGAGATGTGCGTTTGCTAGCCGGAGAACGAGGAACTGGCATCAGTGCCGATAAGCAAGTGTGACAACAAGTTGGCAACTGTTCCCACCCAAGCCGGAATGCGACATGGCCCGCGCGAAGGCAACCTCAAACATTCAAGACTGGAGCCCATGCGTACGAACAGCGGGCGTGCTTACAGTTGATGTTGCGACTCATCAGCTTCAGCTTGTGCTGAAGATGGCCCTGCACTTGCACTGACCAGCTCGCTGCATGAATACCCCTTCAACCCTAAACCACGGTGTTTGAGCTTGTGGCAAAAATCGTCCGGCTCGTTGTTATGACGCTTTCCGGGCACTCGTCACTTCCGGGGGCCAGCTAAGAAACTTACTGTTGGTTAGGTACCCTATATTACCCTATATAATCCCTTAAAGGGTATATGTAGGGGGATGTGGGGTACCTCATTCCCTACTAACCCGCAGTGAGGAGAAGCCAAGGTCGGAACCGTAGTTCCCTGTGTTCTGGGAGAGCTTGGCGAGGTCAAACCCTTCTTCGATGATGGAGCATGCCCAGCAGCCTCCAGCACAGGATTGAACAGATGGAGATCCCTACTTTGGAGTAAACCCTGGAAAGAAAGTATATACTTTTAAGGTATAAATAGCTATGATAGGAACCCAGAACCAAAACAAGTACCAAAGTATAGCACTCCAAACCCCAGAGATTCAAACGAGTCCGTTCCTCCACGAAAGGGGCGGTGGGCAAGAAGCTAGGTCCCCCGAGGCGGCACGCTGGCCGGCCGTTTTTTCAAGATTGACTTGCAGCTGCCGCAACAAAGGACTCGCACTTGGGGGTTGCAAGCTGGAAGCTCGGACAGCCTGGCATCATTTGCACTTGTGCATTGGCCCCTCCCACCTTAGCCGACACCACTTATACCGGGCAAAGGTTCCCCCCCAAGTCCTGTTTGTCCCAGGACAAGAAGCTTACAAAAGCTCTCCAAGGAGCTGCTTTCGTGACATGCAGATTCATCCGAGCTAGTATACTCCCCGGCCGCCCCACATTTCCCCCCCCCCACACCCCCACAAGCGACGCAGCAGGGGTGTTGCATCGTGCCTTGGTCCTGACATGGATTTCCGTTGAAGTCGCACACCACTCTGGTTCCATGGAATCGTCGCTGCGTATTTCCTTGCACGCGGCTATGGACGTATCTTCAGCAAGATTCACATCTGCTGCGCAATGTGCACCCAGCTAGCTTGTGTATGTGCCTATGCAACATCCAGCAAGGTTTGTTTCGTGATCATCTGCAAGGTGCAAATTCTTCACGACAACCATATGTAAGTTGATGAGCCCAAGATCAGCCCATGATCAGCCAGTCCAACTCACAGCCCGAGACATGTCCAAACCTCACTTCAACGGCAACGTGAGCCAGGCACTTCTTTCCGAACCCACCCCGAAGAATGTATATTGAGAGGGATAATTTTTGAGGGAATCGTTGCAACTCGAAGAATTCGTACAGAACCCCCGCCCCGCACTCCCGGCCGACGCTTTCCGGACAGTCCTGGATTGGTTCCGCAGCCCGTGAGCTGGACGTCACCAATCTCCTCAGTGTCGGTGGGTTTGGGCCCAGGGTTCTCGAGGAGCTCCAAACTGTTGGATCTGAGTCACCCAAAACCCTAAACCCTAAACCCGAAACCCTAGACCTGACATGGTGCCCAAAACTCGGCATGAGTCTTGGGCCCTTCTGAGTTCAGACTTCTGGCGGTCAGGACTTCTTGCTGGGGTTCAGGGGAGCTTTAAGGCAACAGCTTTGGCAAACTTTGGCAAACGGTCTTCTGGGCTCGAGCCTGCTCCATGGCATGCTTACCTGACAGGACTGCTGCCAGCTGGCTGCACACTTCTTCTCAAACTTCTGCAGCACTGCCTCCCATTTTAGGGATTAGGGTTCAGGGTTTAGGGTTTGGGGCTTAAGGATTGGCAGAATTTGTGACGATGTTGACTAGCAGCAAAAACATCATACCCATCGCCCGCCATGTCTCGTTTACCTGTCACTACAGACAGTCAAAGACGGAGCATCAGGCGGCTTTGGTTTTCGAAGACCAACTCCTGAAAGCATCTCAACCCTGCCAAAGGCACAGCACCGCCGAACAGCTATGACTTGCAAGCGCAGCACGCGCAAGACGACCACGTGCTTGCGCGAGGGAGGAAAGAAACGCATATCATGCGTCACAACTTCGTCGACATACATGTTTACATTCTGAATTTGCAGGACACACGGCGCCATGTAGGCAGCCCTATGGGTGCGGGTACTTCCCAACATAGAAGTGCCCACCAGTGTATCCAGGCCCTTGCTTGTGCGCTCTCATCTGGCACGGCGGCGCATGAATTTAGTATTTTTTACCGGGCTGTTGGGCGGGTCTTAATTTTACTATGGCAAATCGTGCTTTCATTACATTTTTAAATATTAAAGTTCTACCCGCGGATGAATGAAATAAAATGATCATTGACGCGCCGGTAAAAATTATGTTCGCGCGTATTCGTTCATCCACTTCGTGAAAAGCCTGAATTTTACCAATTAAAAGCGTGCGCCGTTCACTCCTTACCTTTTAGTTATAAAATTATGCAGTCTTTTAGTATTCTTTTCTCTCCCTTCACTCCCCTGTTACATTAATGGTGTTCTTTTCACACACCATAATAATATTACAGGCGCGAGCTTCCCATAATATTATATTGTGTTCTCTTCACTATAATATTATAAGGGAGTGAGTGAGCCTGGCTCATCATGCACGGAATGAGAGAGCAACTCAACACTTGCATTCATGCCACACGTCATTCTGAGTCGCGCAGCCCTTGCTGTTCGGTTACTCCGTGCTCCCTTTCGTTTCGCAAAGCTGTCTTTTGGGCGGGACCCAAAGAAGCTGCTTTGCCGATTGAACCGAAAGTCCATCTGGCAGTGTTTGGGCGGCAAAAGTCACGTTCACAAAGGCAGGAGTACAGCAAAGGAAATCTGGATCCCCGAACCCAGGCATGCCAGGGCCAGCACAGCTTGTGCTCCAACACATAAACCAAAATCTTACTAATACTAATAATAATTCATCTTCTTCTTCTTCTTAAATATATATATATATATGTATATGTATATATATATATATATATATATATATTTATTTATTTATTTGTTTATTTATTTATATATTAACATATATATATATATATATACATGTATATATACATGTATATATACATGTATATATATATACATGTATATGCTGCTACACAAGCACATCAATAAGAACTCGAGCCGTTGGCCTTGCAGTTGTAGATCCGCCAGACCGATATGGTCTGGCTTCGGCTTTCGCGAATCCCACTTGGCAAAGAGCTGCCTCAGCTTCACTTGGAAATCAGGCAGGGATGCCAATTCAGGCCTTGCTGCCTGGGTCGCCTAGAAACTCCCACATCACAACGACAAATCAATCTGAAATCGCACTCTCGTGTTGCGGATCAATCTCAGGGGACGACCTTAGAATGCACCCATGCCCGAAACTGAGAATCATGCTTGATCACGCTTTTCTTCTTCTCCGGGTTTGCCAGCACGCAGTGCGCCTGACCACTGCATGTTAAGAGCGCTTCCCTACGCGGAAACAGCATGAACCCAGCAACAACCACTCCAAAAACCATTTCAACAGCAGCACAGAGCCCTGCACGAGCATGCCAAGACCGCTCCAAAAGGGTTCAGGTTTAAGGTTGTAGGGTTTAGGGTATAGGGCCTTGAGGGTTCGGGGCTTGCAGCCAGATCGCAAGACTTCCGAGTCTAGTGACAGGGGTCAGACTTGAGAGTGAAGGGTTGGTTGTGGGGTTTGGCCTTGGACTGGGGGTCGGATTCCTCGAACTGAGGGGTCAGGGTTCGGGCCCTAAGCCCAAAAAAAGTGAAACCTCAAAGCCCCACAACCCTGAACCCTACCTCTCCACTTTGTCGAAGATAAGCTTCGTAGCCCGCAA